GAAGTTGTTGTCCGCGGCTCGAGAGACGGCACACCTCTCCCTCCGGCCCCCTTCTCTCTCAACGTTGCCAACGAGGAAGTTCGATGAACACACGTCCCGTTTCTACGTTGAGGCTGATGAAATAGTTGTGTGCTGAGTGCTGAGTGTGGTTGTGGTGCCTGGTGACAGATTAGGAATGATCTCCGAACCAAACGGGGTACGATATGTATGACACTGAATTTTAGTGGGGGCTCCGTTGTTTCCTATTTCGCAAGATAACATCCCCCCTCGATCTTATCCTGTCGCCATCCTGGCCATCCTGCCTGTCCGTCACCGTCTGTTTATACAGCGATGACAGTAAGATCCACAGCAATTTGGTTCGTAAGCTCTCGACATGGCACTTCTCATCCCGCGGCTTTAACATGCAAACCTCTTGGAGATTGTCGATCTTGATAAAACGAAATAACGGCCGACATGTTTGTATGTAGCACATCATACACCTTCACACGCATGCATGTAGATGTAGTTCTTTTTTTTTTGGTCTTCACATCATTTAATAAATGAGCGCCCACAGCACTAGTGCCGTTTACTCCAACGCGTGGTCACAAAGAAGAGCCCCTCTCTACCCTCCCCTCCTGCGGTACTTTGCCTCCGATTTTTAATGCGAGAAGAGTTCAGCAGTCTCTTCCCTCTGTGTACACACGAACTAGCGCTATCCACTACAGGCCATGAGCGGAAGCGAGAGAACTCAATTTGCAAGCAAAGCTCGTTTACAATACGCCGGGATTCGAACCCCTGACCTGGCTAGAAGGTTTCGAGGATACCAACTAGACCACCGGGGCGACCGGACCATGCTTACGTGTAGTAAATGTGTGTCATCATCCACTTACTTGTTTTATATACGGCAGCAGCAGTATCCTTGTGACGACTATAATAGCGACGACCGACAACAGAGAATTTCGCTGGCCTTCGGTCAGGAGGTCTGCGGTGGGAACCTGAGCAGGACCTCGAATAAGACGCGAACGAAACACCCTTCATAGTCTATGCAACGCACGTACAAGTTTGGAATCTCGGCGGAGCGACCCAAACGGCAGAAGAAGTACTACTGTGCTCACTGCTGTGCATAAAGAGTACACGACGCACCATGCGTATTTGCATAATATTTCGAACATCATGTTGTTTGGAATGTAGACAAGATATCATATCATGTGAAAGAGAACGCTGTGTTTTTAGGTACTTCCTGCGTACTTACCAGCTTCCCCAGGAGTTTATCGTCGTTGGTTGCAAATGGAAAAGGAAGCAGCGCCGCCACCACCGCCCTAACTGTGCCGTGGATCATACAATTTCGCGTCGCGGGCGTGATGAACTACGTATATACCCATGCCCATACGTGCAAATGACCGCGTTTACGCTGCGCTCCGCATCTATCTTGTTTCTTGCCGAAAACACACACAAAACTTCTAGCAGTTTGATTACATACAGCAGTAGTGGGGGTCCCTTCATAGTGCCGGTATGTGCCCGCCAGATTCAGCGGCACTATACCGGGCACCCGGATTCAGAGAATGACACAACTTGAATATTCCATCAATGTTGCGCGATTTCTCACCCGCACTATTGTATCGGGCAGCGGCACTATTCAACAGGTACTATTGAGAGGCCGGGATAAATAAATGAGCACTGAATAAACAAATGAATTGTTACGTTTCCCCACTTCCCGCCAAGCAAGACCACATGTAATGTATGTATGAAGACATCGCCACGGAGGAAGCCATCTTGACGAGCGCTCCAAAGAGAGCACAACGTCTCCTCTTGAAAAAAAATTCAAGCAACGCGCCCGCGCTCAACTTGTCTCGTGTCTTGCCGTCTTGTCTTTCTGTGCGGCAAAGCCAACCTCGACCATACATATACCAGTAGGTTTTAATGTGAAGGTTTCTTGACAATTGAACGCTTGTTCCTACAGTACGGTCGATCAAACTTGATGTTGTAGCTCGAATTGTAGGCTCTCTCACTTTCTTGGCCGCCAATTTGCTGTGGCGCGTACTGTCCAGAGTAGTGCCCGAAGGACGTCAATCTGGAACACACAACATGATAGTTTTTTTTTTTTTTGAGCGTACACGACACGATATGTATTCGCACTTCAATTCGTCCCTGGTTCCCCCTGCAAGGCCTATAGTAGTATTTCCTCAAGAGGTGAACATACTACTGTGACTTCCACTTCAACAGAAAACAAAGAATAACCGAGGAAGAACAACAACGGAAAGGTATATATACTGGGGGGCGGAAGACACGCAACACAGCGGCGGCACGGCCTCAGCCTCCACAAACAATGTTCGACCTTTCATCGCCAACGCCGAGCTGTACCCTATCCCTCACCCTGCCCTCTCACCACCTCTGCTCCTCTACGCCTAAATTAGAATACCTTTCTAGCTTTCTAGCTTTCTAGCTTACTAGCTTACTCAGCTCGAAACACAAAAAAAACGAGCAAAACCTTCCCCAGCTAAAATATATATGATATTGAGCACCCTCCCCCCTCGTGCCCTCACGATGCCCATGCAACACGTACGCCATCAGGGATGACCTACTACCCGGTATTCAAGACTAACGTTTCATCACAAGCATGCCCCGCTGCCAACAAAAAACACCTACAACCGCTTCGTTCGGAAGAGGAAGGGGAAGGGGGGGTAGAACGATGGGCTGTTCCACTAGGTCCCTTTTCTACCCCCGAACAGCCCAAACGCGTTCCCCTTCTTCCCGCCGCCCTTCCGCGTGCCCCCCACGCTGCCGTTCGGGCTTCCCGACTTCTCGCTGGTGGGGCTAACCTTCCCGCTGGTCGGACTGCTCTTGCCGCTCGCCGCCCCGCCTCCATCCGCAGCCGCGGCCGCCCCCCCCCCCCCTCCTTTTTCC